CACTGTAACTACAAAACCCATAGCAACTACAGAACTCAATGTAGCTACAGAATCAACTCTAACCACAGAACCCTTGTAACTACAGAAATAATGGTAACTACAGAATCAACTGTAACTACAAAATCCAATGTAACTACAGAATCAATGGTAACTACAGAACCCAGTGTAACTACAGAATCAATGGTGTATACAGATCCCAGTGTAACTACAGAACCCAATGTAACAACAGAACCCCGTGTAACAACAGAACCCAGTGTAACAACAGAACCCAATGTAACTACAGAACCCAATGTAACTACAGAACCCACTGTAACTACAAAACCCATAGCAACTACAGAACTCAATGTAGCTACAGAATCAACTCTAACCACATAACCCTATGTAACTACAGAAATAATGGTAACTACAGAATCAATTGTAACTACAGAATACAATGTAACTACAGAATCAATGGTAACTACAGAACCCAGTGTAACTACAGAATCAATGGTGTCTACAGATCCCAGTGTAACTACAGAACCCAATGTAACAACAGAACCCCGTGTAACAACAGAACCCCGTGTAACAACAGAACCCAGTGTAACAACAGAACCCAATGTAACTACAGAACCCAATGTAACTACAGAACCCACTGTAACTACAAAACCCATAGCAACTACAGAACTCAATGTAGCTACAGAATCAACTCTAACCACAGAACCCTATGTAACTACAGAAATAATGGTAACTACAGAATCAATTGTAACTACAGAATACAATGTAACTACAGAAATAATGGCAACTACAGAATCAACTGTAACTACGGAATCAATGGTGTCTACAGATTCCAGTGTAACTACAGAACCCAATGTAACTACAGAATCAATGGTAACTACAGAACCCAATGTAACTACAGAACCCAGTGTAACTACAGAACCCAGTGTAACAACAGAACCCAGTGTAACAACAGAACACAATGAAACTACAGAATCAATGGTAACTACAGAACCCAGTGTAACTACAGAATCAATGGTGTCTACAGATCCCAGTGTAACTACAGCACCCAATGTAACTACAAAACCCAGTGTAACATCAGAACCCCGTGTAACAACAGAACCTAGTGTAACAACAGAACCCAATGTAACTACAGAACCCAGTGTGACTACGGAATCAATGATAACTACAGATCCCAGTGGAACTACAGAACCCCATGTAACTACAGAACCCGTGGTAACTACAGAATCAATGATAACTACATATCACAGTGCAACTACTGCACCCAGTGTAACTACAGAACCCAATGTAACAACAGAACCCCGTGTAACAACAGAACCCAGTGTAACAACAGAACCCAATGTAACTACAGAACCCAATGTAACTACAGAACCCACTGTAACTACAAAACCCATAGCAACTACAGAACTCAATGTAGCTACAGAATCAACTCTAACCACAGAACCCTTGTAACTACAGAAATAATGGCAACTACAGAATCAACTGTAACTACAGAATCAATGGTGTCTACAGATCCCAGTGTAACTACCGAATCAATGGTGTCTACAGATCCCAGTGTAACTACAGAACCCAATGTAACTACAGAATCAACTGTAACTACAGAACCCAATGTAACTACAGAATCAATGGTAACTACAGAACCCAATGTAACTACAGAACCCAGTGTAACTACA